AAAAAAAAAAAAAAAGGCTGTTTATAAAGTCCTTCCCAGGCAACTATCCGCAATTCATTTCTGCAGACTCTGAGAGTAACTGGATGGTGCATGTGGATTTGTGTGTATGCTTGAGTCTAGCGTTCATGTCAGTGCCCCACAAATTTTTGCTTCCTTTCTAAATCTCCAAAATTTAACCATTACTGGAAAACACCAACAGAGGGCATCAGGATTTAATTCTGGGTGAGTTGCTCCTGAAGGCTGAGGTTCTAGTGCTCTGACAGGTCTCTCAGCAAAGCTCTTTCCCTGCAGGACGGCAAAAGATGTCACCCCCCTCCTGACACCGCAGTCGCCTCAGCCCCTTCCCCCCCATCTGGCGAGGGGTGCATGCCTCGGCTCCTGTTTCTAGAGTTTCTCCCCTAGGGATGCCTGCCTTCTCCTGGGATGGCGGATGACGGCATTTATGAAAACAGAGCCATGATTAATAGTGATTCATGACATCTGAGTTTTCTCTGCTGATTGCTGAGCTGTGGCATGTGGGTTAGAGAACCTGATCGACGCACGACTGCTCTGACGTCTAAAACGACACCAGGGAACCTTCCAGCAGGCGTGCAGGTCGGGGCAACCAAAGCCCACAGGATGGTGATCAGGGAGCCCGGTTTCTATGCCCAGTGCCCTCACCACTTCCTAAACGAGTGTGGCAAACAGCTGAACTGCTCTGTGCCTCAGTTTACCCTCTTGCTAGAGATATAATTGCACTTTACTGCATTTGCTATTCACATGGGGACGTGCTACATTTAGAGTCAAGTGCCCTGGTGTGATCTCTGTTACTTGCTAAGTATGTTCTTACACAAGAAACAAATTCCCAGAGCCTCACTGTCTTAATCTGCAAAATGGGAATAATCCCATCCCACCTTCCTCCTAGGACAGTGTTGAGAGGCAGTGGGGAGGGTGCATGAAAAACCATTCTGGAACAGCCTGAAACGTCCACACAAAGGGTAGACCCTCGTCAGCACCTTCAGTACTTACAGCAGTTCGGGGGGGAGGGGGGCAGGGGCACTGGCCGTGTCTGCGGGGGTGTTGCCTCACTCAGAGAGGCTGGGGGGTTGCTGTTCAGAGCACCAGCTGTGGAGTCAAATGGTCTCAGTGACATCCCACCTTGCCATTCACCTTTGCAAGTCCCTTATAATCTATACAACGGGGATAATAGTAGCATTGACCCATGTTTTGCAAGACTCATGCCAGGTGTTGCATGTAAAACAGTTAGTGCAGGTCCAGGAATTGAGGGGAGGCTTAATAAATGGTAGTCATCATTGTTATGATGATGATTGTCTCTCCCTAATGAGAGGAGGCGTTACTGAAGGATGCTCTGATCCCGCACACCTGGAGAGCCTTTCCAAATGGCCATGACCCCCAAAGACCCCTCCTTTTCCTGAGCTGCCTTAGCATCTAAGGTCTGTGCCAGCAGCCCCCAGTTGTCTTCCCATCATCATTTTATATGGCCCGGGCATCTGAATAGATGCTTGTAAAATTCTGTCCCCATTTGCCACCCTGCACCTACACCCTGGACATTGTAAACCCCTCTCCTCCAGCACCCCAAATACTGATATTCTCATGTAGCACTGCAGAGTTGTAAGGATCCTCATGTAATTCAGTCCCCTGATGACTGGACATCTGAGGGCAAGAAAGGGGACAGGATTCATCTAAGGTCACTGCTCTACCATAATGGCGGGACCTGGACAAAATACAAAATACATCTCTTTTGCTTATTTCTCCTTTCCATTGCTTTTTACTGACTGTTAAAAAAAAAAAAAAAAAAAAAAGTGAATTGTATTAGTGAACACCTAACAGGGCTTCAAGTTTGGAAACAAGGTTATGAACCATCTAGAATATTCTCTGGTCTCCAAGTTGACCTTCCTAGGGACCATGCCTCGTAAAGTCTTTGACAGGTAATGCACGCATCACTGTTTCCATGAAGGAAGGCATGTAGAAGGGGGAAAGGAAAGGAGGAAGGAAGGAAAGAAAGAAGAAAGGGAGGGAAGGAGGGAGGAGGGAGGGAGCGAGGGCCTTGCTGCGGAGGCAAAGACTGCAGGGGGGAGAGGAGCCGGAGGACGGGAGATGCGGGGGTGGGAACAGCTCTGCCGGGAGGCTTTGTTTTGTTTTAAGATGGGAGGAACTTGGGGATATTTATAGACTGTGAGGAAGAACTCAGAGGGGACAGAAGTGAAGATGCCAGGCAGGAGAGTAGGAAGATCCCTGGGGGCACAGGAGGGGGTTCTAGACCCGCTTCTCCTGGTGACTTCTGGGCCGTTCCCGGCCCGCACGTCCTCCATGCGATTGTGAGTTACTGACCATAGGTAATTGTTTGAGGGATGCTGGCAGGGCCAAAATACATGCATCTATCTATCTATCTATCTATCTATCTATCTATCTATCATCTATCTATAATGTATATCACCACCCATAAGAATTAATGGCATCAGGCCCCAGAGCGTAAGTGGCAAGCGACTACAGACTTGGAAAGCTTTCCTTGCAAACTTGACTTATTAGGGCACTTCTGCACTTGAGGTTGCATTTGGAATGGAGGAAAGCAACTATCTTACTCCCAGGACAAGCTCTCTTTCCTCCAGTCAAAATCATTTGGGGTTTCAGTGGGGTATTTACAAAACCCAGAGGTGAATCCCCTGGGAAAACCCAGGAGAAGGTAACAGACTAAAGAGACCTGGACAGAGCTGTGGCATCACCTGGCTTTCTTTGGCTTTTCTCCTTGCCTCCTTCCCGTAGGAATCTTTTTTCTCTTACTGATGTTAAAAAGTATTTTAGATTTTGGACAATGTCTTCTCACATGTGTTTAAACTATAGTTGGATGTTAAAGATCATTTGTTTTCAGATGTCCTTTTCAGTGATGATGGCAGGTCTCCGTTTTTCCAGCAATGGGGAGTGGGGGCCGTGTCCAAGCAGCAACAAAAGGGACAACAGGTGGCAAGAGACAGGTGCAGGGGGGCTCTGGTGCACTGGGGAGAGGAGGGAGCCGTCTCTGGGTGCCTGGGGTAGAGGGCAGAGATCTGCCCCCCCCCCCAGGGCAGAACCCTGGGCCCCTGGGCCTGAGAGCCTGGGGCTGGCTGACTTGGTTTCCAGCTGAGCGAGAAAGTGGCAGTTCTTCCTATTAACCCTTCCTATGCTGAGGAAAGCAGAAGATGCTCATACTTTGGGGTGGGAGGAGGGAAGGAGAAGAGTTTGTTTTCCATCTCATTGACATTCAGGCGACAAAGGTGAAACCTCAGACCTCAAACTCCGGAGTTCAGCAAGACGGCCTGGGGGGCAGTGGGGGAAGTGGGGATGGTGCAGGATGGCTGTGGGAGGAAGGGGGCAGCAGAGGGGCCTGGGAGTGGGGATGTGGGTTCATCAGGGGCCTCAGGGCAGGTTGAGGAGGCACAGGCACTGAGCCGAGAGGGGTTGAGAGCCACAAGTGCAAGTAGCATAATCCCATTTACATCCTGGAAGATCCAGTGGGCTAGTGTGCCCTGAGGGCCGGCCTGGCTGGGGACTGGGAATGAAGAGAAGGAAACAACATGAAAAGTTGGCTCTCTCCCTGATAAACCCAGATTACGCCAGCACCCAATTTGCACTGCACTTAAGCCCAGCAAAAAATGTGATGGGAAGGAGCTTGGGAGACTCAGGACCCACTTCCCAGAGGAGCCACTGAGCTGAGCTGTGAGCTGAGGAGGGTTAGTGGGTGCAGAGGGCCAGGGCAGCAAGGGTGGGAATGGGCTCAGTTGAAGGTACAGGAGCAGGAAGATGGGAGAGAGCAGGCACCAGATTTATTCTGGAGGTGACGGGGGCATCAAGACACCGAGGTCATTCTGGCAGCCAAGAAGACCAAGTCAGGTGTCCCACTTGGGGGTTGCCTGCTGGAACCCAGGCCTGAAAGATGGACATGGAACTTGTGCAAATTACTGTATGTTAAAGTGCTTAGCACAGCCCCAGTGCCCGGGTTGTGGACTGGATCCCTGGTGCGGGGCATGCAGGAGGTAGCAAGTTGATGCTGATGTTTCTCTCTCTCTTCCCTTTCCTCTCTCTAAAATTAATAAAAAAAAAGTGGTGGTGATTTTGTCACTGACATTTGGAATTCAGATGCGCCCCCCTTTATATTTAGACCCTGCTGCATTCCAGTAGGAAATCCCTTGTTTTCAAGGGGTGCCCCTTGGGGGACCCACACAGGCTCAAGAGGCCAGAGTACTGCTGCTTGCTGCTGTGAGAGGGAGGAGGAACTCAGATCCTCCCCCAAGACACCCCAAAACCACCTGTGGGTCTCCTCGAGCCATCTCCAGTTTGCTGTGGCTACGTGTCCAGTGTGGCAGCCCTGTTGTAGCTGCACAACACTCCATCTCACTGGGCAGGATTTCTTCCCCTGTTGTCCTCTACTGGAGCCATGCTGTTTCACAGCCCTTCCCCACACTGCAGGTGGTGAGGGTGGGAGGCAGGGCCATGTCTAGGACATTCTGGGGATGCGGAGGACAGGTCCAAGGAGCGTATCTCAGGTGCATCCAGAGGGCCAGCAGCTGCCATGCAGAACAGCACACAGAAGCAGGCCAAGGGCATCCACCAAGGACACCTGGGCAGCATGGAGCACCTTGAGGGCTGAGCTGTCCTCAGGAGGCAGTGCCCAGCCCCAGGGCCAGAGGCAGAGTCTGAGTGCCTGAAGGAAGAGCTCCTGGTTGGCAAACAGGTGTGTGTGAGTGTTCTACCTCAACCTCCACCTTCATTCAAGTCTAGCCTGTGACTGTCCAGGGAGGCCGCTGTGACGGTGGGGTCTCCGTGGTGGCCAGCCAGCAGGTGTGGGAGGCCCATGGTCCATCAGGTGTCACAGAGAGCAAAGGCCATGGGCATGGCAGTGAGGGCTGAGAGGCTCCCTATGGAGGCTGAGGGGAGAGTCAAACACGGTGATGGAAAGAACTGGAGGCCAGAGGGGTGAGGTATAAAAATCTGTATTTATATTACAAAGACAGAATGGTACAGCACAGTCCCTCCCGTGAGCAGGGACAAGTGACCCATCTCTCTCCAGTGAGGACTTTGCAATGTGCCCACCTGGCAAGCACCAGGCCTCCTGGGCAGCCCCAGACTCTGGCACGGAACCTGCCCTAGTGCCCTGGATGTGGCCTGGGTTTAGAATCCTATGTGCACAGAGGCAGGGAGGGGGCCCCAGGTTAGCTGGCCCAGAAAGAAGCAGGGGGTGGGAGGGTGTCAGGGAGCCTGCCTTGCCCAGTAGATGAGCATTGTCTGGGGCAGACAGGAGGGGTCCCTTGGGGCCATAGTTGGGTGCAGGGCTCCATCTGCCAAGGAAAGTAGGCTTGGGCACTGGGCCCCTGAAACCCAGTCTGCAGAGGCAGGGCCAAGGCTCTGAGGAGCGGGGAGCCATCCTGCAGCCTCCCCAGCCAGCTGGGCCTACACTGCAGTGATGACCTGGAGTGTCGGGGCCACTGCACAATGAGAGTGGGGACCCAAACGGGAGCCTGGGGTTCCAGGAGCTCAGCCACAAAGTGCCACAGTGGCCTACATGGGCATGGGAGGGCACACGGAGAGGGTGTGGGCACCCCCAATGGCCCTTTTCTCATCATGTCTGCTTTCTATATATCTGACAACGCTGAGGTTTGCTCTAATAATTCAACAAGGCCTCAGCAGGGCCCTCTCTGGGTTCCCATGGCCACCCACAACAGCGAACCTATGTAAATGGTAGGGAGCTGGAGGGAGGGGGAATGGATGTGTACCTCCTAGCACCTGACCCTGGCCCTGAGGACCACCCCCTCACATGCCTGCTGGTGCAGGGAGGAGCACCTGGGACTACAGCACCCCTGGGTGGCCAGTGAGGCCAACTCCCTGGCCCACTTGGAAACCACGGCCTGAAAAGCCCTGGGTGGAGCTGCCAGTAGGGTGGGCTGAGGGCTACAGCTGGTCATGGGGTAAGATGCTGAGGCCAGAGGTGGGAGCAGAACCTCTGCAGGTGTTAGGGGTGGGGTCTTAACTTCGGATGTTCCTGCCCTAATGCTCAGAGGACATGCTCAGACAGACAGGAGAAGCCTCCCATGACCCTCCCAGGGCCCCCAGTTTAGCTGGAGGGAGATACCAACAGAACAGTTTTCCTTACGACCCCAGCCCCGACCCCACAGGCCTGCTTTCCACCCATCATCCCGAGCCCAGGAGGGCAGGTTCTGTGCCAGAGCTGTCTCCAGGGACCCCCTTCTTGCTTCAGTTAGGCCACCCACCCTGGGGTGTCCGTCGGTATGACTGGAGATAAACGTGATTGGGAAATTGGTTACAATGCACCAGAGGGGGAGGCAGACACTGCTGTGGGTCAGCCCTACTGCCCGCCACCCGAGTATTGCTGTGTGGTCCCTGGGGACAAGGGCTTGGGAACAAAAGGCCAGGAGAAGCCTAATGCTCAGGCCTGACCCCCTGGGTGAACGCTGTTTTCATCAGCTGCCAATGTCTGAAATCTGGAGCCCTCGCCCCAGGCAGGGGGGCAGGGAGGGTTCAAGCTGAGTACAGGTAGGAACTACTTCTCCGGTTAGCAGGCCCTTCTGACCTGGAGGCTGGGTTGCACAGCAGGTCCCTGCTAGCCACTGGGGAGGGTGACACTGGGGGGCAGGTCACGGCTCCTCCTGCCAAAGTGACAGAAAGCAGCCCCTGACCTGGCCTTGCAATATCTTGCTCCCGGGAAGTTGTGGCTGCTGGGAGGGGCTGATCCACGGGGAGGGGCCAGGAGGACACCTGCTGGGCAGGTGGGGGTCCTTCCAGGAGCCGCAAGGGAGATGCTGGTGGTGGGGGTGGGGCCAGACACAGGACACAAGGCACACTTGGACAACAGTGACAGATGGACGAGTCCCTGAGACGCTGGGTCACTCCCACCCCTCGGCAAACAAGGACGCAATGCGGACTAGGAAAATAGAGTACAAAAATCTCGCACAGGAAACAGGCGGCACACGCTGACCGCACTCGGCCGACGACTTAGACCTGCTTCTCGTTTTAAAAATGTTCCCTTTGCTTTCTGGGAGGGCCCCTCTCCCGGGGCCCTGCTCTGGACTGTGGGGCAGTGCAGCCATTTATTTTTATTTTTTGCCTTTTTTAAAAAAGGGACACCAGAAAGCCCCCTGAAGACCCAGTGGCTTCAACTCCTTGGCCCCCAGCACACACCTCAGCCCCTGCTGGGGGCAGAAGCCCCCTTCCCTGTACAGACTGGGCAGGTGACTGGGGGTGGGAGAGGGAGCTAGGCACAGGCCAGGGGCCAGCTTTTGCTTAGGTGACCCCTGAAGGGGACCAGTGCCCTCTGAGTCCCAGGTACCTCTGGGTCTGGTCACCACGTGTGTTTACATGTGTGCATGTGTGTGCAGGCAGGTGGACGTGACTAGATATATGAGTGTGTACACCTGAGGGACCTAACAAAGCGGAAGCTGCCTAGCGGGGTGTGGGGTCGCCTGGCCTGCCTGCCCTAGGAGCCCAGCCCTGGCTCCTGACCCTCTCAGGGTGCAAAGGCCCCTCCCCACCCTCCTGCCCCAGGGTGCTCACCAGAGTCCCGCCCTTCATGGATCTCTTTGTCCATGCTTCAGGAGCCTACGTGGACTGACAGGTAGATGGACAGGTGGATGGATGGAGAGCCACGCCTTCCTTCCTCAGTCCACTCCTTTCTCCTGGGGTCCGGGGTGGGGTCTGAGCTCCCCATGCTGGTCATTAAGCCCTTCACACGGCGCCCGCCGAGGTTTGCAGCAATGACATTTAATACTTCTGGAATGATTAGGAATCTGAGAACAGACCATGGGTGGCTACGCTGGGCTCCGGGACTCGGGAGCTGGGCCCGCCTCCCTGCAGGGGTCCCTGCCCGGCTGGGAGGGGCGGGCGGCGAGGTGGGCCCTGACCGGCAGGCGGGTGGAGGCAGGCAGCCCAGAAGGCTGCTAGAGCTTCCAGGATGGCACAGCAGTGGGCCCATGGAGAGGCTTGAGAGGACTGGAGGGTTGATGCACTTGGCTGGGCGGCAGGCAGGCCAAGGAGCAGAGGGCACCAGGCTTACGAGAGGCCAGGGCGGGCAGGCCGCCGGCAGGGAGGCCCATAGCCACCATCGCTGCAGCCGCCACTCTGCAAGCTGTAGTGGTCATCCACGTCACTGTTGCTCCCAACACTGTCCAGCTCGCCGGGGCCAAACTCCATGCCCTCTACGTCCACCTCTAGGGAGAGCAGAGAGGATGGGGTCGGACACTGTGAGGGTGCCAGCCTAGCTCCCGGCAAAGTTAGGGTGGGTCTCTGCCTTTGTGGAGGAAGCAGAGGCTCCAGGGGAGGTGGTGCAGGAGAGACAGGGCTCCAGGTCTGTGGCTCAGTTAAGAACATAGTCCCAAAGCCACCACCTTGTGTGGGCAGGCCACCTGACCCATGTGCCTTGCCCAACTCGTCCCATCACTCTTGCCACACACACCAGGTGTTCGGACAGTGCAGGGACACGTTGTCATATTGGCACCTACTGCCCATGGCTACCATCCCTACCCCTCCCTCAGGCTACCTCCCCAGCCCTCCCCATCCTCCCAGCTTCCTGGGAAACCTGGGTGTGCACAAAGCCTGTGCCCACCTTGCTCCGAGTCATCCGTGGAGACGGCGGAGCCCGTGCTGTCTGTGCGTACACGTTCCAGGCTCTGCACCGACAGCTGCTCCAGGCGCCGCTTCAGGAAGCGATGTTCTCGCTGTAGCTGCTCCTTGATGCTCAGCGCCCGGCGGTCCTGCTCCTCCAGTTTCTGGGGGCAGGGAGTGCTGTGAGCCTGGGGGACACCCCTCCCCACACTGGAATTTGGCACTGGGGCATTGAGGCCTGGCCAGGGTCCCCGTCCCCCACCTAGCCTGGGTCCAGGGTCACAGGGTGCCCAGTCCCCACGGGACCCAGTGGCGGATGTCCTCTGGCCTCAACCCCACCAGGTGGTTACACTAGGTACCCCCTCCCAGGCCTGTGCTCTGCTACCAGCTCTAGAAGCACCAGAGCCAGCAGCTGGCTTGGCCAAGCCAAGTCCTGTGCAGGCCTGAAGCCCCAGACCACCACCACTCAGCCCTGGGCTGGCACCTCCACTCAGAGGATGGCGCTGCCCACAGCCACTCCTCCCTGCCCACATGGCACCTGCCTAGCCTGATCCTGCACCTCCTGGTCCCCTCGCCCTCCCCACACCTTCCCCTGCACTGAGACTCTGCCTGCTTTGATTGTGTCCCAGGGCACTGCTGTGCCTCTCTCAAAGCTTCTGCTACCCTGCCTGGGGGTGCCCATGACTATGTAGGCCCCAAGGACCCTGCACAGGGACTAAGACCACTCTGGTTGGCCCAAGTATCACAGGACCCCAAAAACAACAGGTCTCAGTCTCAGACCTTGGGGGCCTGCTCCAGGCAATATCTCACACAGCCACACCTCACTACCAGCCCTCTGCCCCAGAAGCTGCCGGACCACTGGGCACCTATTTCCCGTGGGACTCCCAGCATCGAAGGCACCCCGCCCTCTTGGCCCCACCTTCATTGCCCAGGACCCTGAAGGGCCATCTGTCATCCCCCTCCCCCTCCAATAGTTCCACCCTCACCCAACAAAACCCAGCGTGTCCCCACGACATCTTCAACCCTCAGCAGCTCCTGTTGCTGCCTGCCCCCCACCCTGAGATCCCCAGGCCCCCAGTGTGTACCTGCTGGGCAGCTTCCACCCCTCGAGGCCCTGCAGTCATGCCCCCAGGGTGCATAAGTTCTGGGCTGGGTCAACCAGGGCAGCTGGCCAGGGTGGTGGTGGAGGGTGCGGCCCTGCTCACCTTGATGTGTGTCTTGGCGCGCTTAAGAAGGCTCAGCGTGGTGTGGCGGGTGCTGTCAGGGCCCAGGGGCACCAGCTGCTTCAGCTGCTCCAGGTAGAGCCTGAGTTTGGCTCGTCTGAAAGAGCCAGAGACAGAACCGTCAGGCATGGTGGCCAGCCCTCGGGGCAGGGGCAGCAGAGTGGCTAAGAGGTCCGAGGGAGGGCCGGAGGCAGCTGGCTAGACACCCCACAGACTTGCTGAGGGGCCCAGTCTGGAGTTCCCTTCCCACCTGGCCAGCAGCTCCCCAGACCTCAGGGCAGCCTGGCACCCCCAGCAGAAGACGACCACCTGTGGCAAGGGCCCGTGTGTCCGGCAAGCCCCACAGCCTCCCAGAACCTCAGAGTTCCTAAGCCAGGCACTGCCCGAGAGCCCCAGTTCACCTCCACAGTGGAGTCAGTGGGCAGGGGGACAGCCTGCAGGACGTGGGGGAGGCGCCGGGTGCTGGTCAGGCTGCTCTGAGATCTGGGGGCCTCAGGCCAGGTTTACGTCCCCGACCTCGCCAAGTGCAGGGTGCTTGCTAGTCACTCTCATCAGCACAGAAACAGAGTCCATCTGGGTCAGGGAGGGCCGAGGAATGGACCCTCCCACCCGAGGCTGGCATCCTGTGGGAAATTGCTTCTTTCCGGATTCTGCCCGTGTCCACGCAGGAGGAGGCAGTTTTTCCACAAAACTGGAATCACAGGACTTACAGGTGTGTTCAGGCCTGTGGGCCACGAGCCTTCACACAGATGCTGCCTGTCTTGATTATCTTGTCCAGGTAGGGCAGGCAGGTGGATGGGGCGGCCGCTAAGGCTCACCCCCAATGAATGCTCTGGCCCCCGATGCCACATCACTGGACTGGCCTGCCCCAGCACCTGCAGGCACCAGAACCCCATGGGCCACTGAGACTGTTTCTGCTCAGGCTACACTGTTAGGAGACCAGAGGCCCGGGGAGCACCCACACTAGCTGTTCCCCCTTTTCATTTCCATTCTCTATGTTCCAAAGCCCAGCAAACCCCAGCTCACTAAGCCTTAGACATCCTGGGAGGAAAGTGGGCAGATGGCCACCCACAGCCTGGGCCTTATCTGTCACCCATGTCCACACAGCACCCTCCTGCTGATGAAGCATCTCCTGACCTAGCAACCTGGGGCCTGGAAATTCTCCAGGGGAAGCAAGTTGGACCTCAGAAGAACTTCCAGGACACAGGACAGGGGCTGTGCTGGCTCAGCCACAAGGCAACGAGGAGCCGGAGCCTCAACAGCCTGGACCCTGGGAACCTGTGTGCAGAACAGGCCCCGGGCTCTGCCTTGAGGCTGGAGGATCTTTAGAAGTGAGCCCACACCCACATGGACACGGGGCATGGGAAGGGGACACACTGGTGGGCTCCAGAACATACACTTCCAGGTCCCCGGCCACTGCTGCAAGATCCCCCGGTGCCCCCCCTCCCAAAGTCTGAGGGCCTTGGCCTCTCACTTCCAAGGGTGCCAGTGTGCTCACCCCGTTGAGGACGGGCCAGGACTGTACACAGCTGCCAAGGGGCTCACTCATTACCCCCTTCCACTGCAGGCCCCACTGCCTGCCACCCAGTGGGCAAGTGAGGTTCCCCTGTCTGCTTGTCCCATAGCAAATAGCAGTTCCTACAACCTACTGCTTACACACTCGGTATGTGATCTTGGTGAAAATGAGAAAACGCAAATCACCGGGGAAAAAGTAAATGAAACGTACCCCTGAACTCCACCCCCCGAGACAACCGACAGCATCATTACTGCAGTATCCTCTACGTGTTCACATCAGGGATGTACGTGAAAAAGTCGGCATATAGGACCACCTATGTGACAACAGACCCGATAGTGTTTAAAAAATGAAACAGCAGACGCACACGAGAGACTCAACAGGACACAATGAAGAGAGGAAGCATGCGTCTCCAGGTGAGGCGGTTGGCAACGTTTATTTTTTTGGCTTTGTGTTTTGTTTTTTTTGTATTTTCCAAGTTTTCTATGCTAAAAAAAAACCACATATTACTTATACAATCAGAAAAAGACACATTTGTACAAGAAAGAAAAAACACAGCTAAAAGACAAATAACAGTGGAAAAATATTTGCAATACATATAAAAGACAAACGGTTAGTATCTGTGACATTTTGAGCTCATACACAGCAAAAATAAAAAGAAGAATATCTTGATGTGAAAACGGGCAAAGGACACAAACAGGCAAGTTGCAGAACAGAGATGGCTAATTGGACACAAAGCTGACCAACCTCCCAGTTTCCAGGAGGTGAGAACTCACGGAGGAAATGCTATGTCGGGTGGACACGAAGAGAGGCTGGCTCTCGCGGGCCAGAGCCTGAGCCCCTGCAGGCGTCGCTGGCGGGCAGCGGTTCTGAGGGCATCGCAGAGACTCAAACCTCTGACCTGCATTTCTACTCGATGTGGGTCCCACAGAACTACCCCCAGACAGGCCATGTTAACCAGAGGGCCAGGCTGAGAGGCTGCGGTACAGCCTGGCCTGCTGGGTACCAGCACAGGGAGGTGGAGCAGAGCCCAGGGACCCAGGGGGACAGCGCTCAGGTAGTGTCAGGCGAAAGGTCAAGAGGAGAGCGGGTAACAAGGTCTGGCTCTTTTCCAAGTTAGCACGAGCGCACGGCGGCGGAGGAGGGCAGTGTGGCCCCCCAGCTGCCCAGAACAGCTGGGGGTGGGGGCATGGCATAAGGGGGGCCCACGCACGTCCACAGGGGACGTGAGCCATCCATTCCAGCAACCACAAAGCAAACACTTCTCAAAAGACAGAGAGAGGCCACCTGACTACACCGTGCCATGTCTAACACTGGACAACATGTCTACCCAGCCCCAGGGGCGCTGGCTGTGGGGCCCTGAGCAGGTCCCTGCCCTTCTGAGCCCCAGCGTCTGTTCCCTGTGGGGGAGTGGGCATCCCAGGACCGCCCTGGGCTGGAGGGTGCTGAGGCCCACAGCCTGGGGCTGCACGGGACTCTCACTATGCCCTCTCTGAAGTGGGTGCAGCACCCAGGCCCTCCGCCAGTGACTTGCGGCTGTCCCTAGCATTCCTGGCAGCTTTGAAAACCCACCACTTCCTGCAGGAACCCTGTGTGGCTTCAGGAGGCAGAACGTGCATCTGGGAATCTCTGCATCAGTGTTAAGAGGAGCTCTGTCCCTGTGGCTGCCCACAGCCCAGCCCTTGACACGGGCCTTCTTAGCTCTCACCACAAGCCCCACTCCTCCAAGGAGGCACCAGAGCTGCCATGCAGGGTCCCCCAGCACCTGAGGGGCATGGTCCCAGCTGTTCGCTCTGAGCTCCTCAGGCCTAGCTGTCTCAGAACAGGCAGCAGGGAAATGCACTTGGGGGGGGGGGAGCATAGTCCCCTTCTTTCCGCTAGCCATGACTGAGGTCCCCACCAGGATCCCAAGCTCCAGGCCTGTGGGCTCCTCATGGCTGTCCACACCTGCCTACTGGCCAGCCAGGAACAGAGACCCTGCACTGGGCAGGGCAGACCCCAGGCTGCCTACCCATCCTGCCTGTGTCTCAAAAGGGCCCCACAAGGCTCAGTCTATGGGCAGGCTCTGGGGAGAAAGTGGCTGAGGCCAAGGTCAGGGTCAAGGGGCAGTTGCAGGGTCCTTTGTTCGCCTGCACTTTCCAGCTGTGAGGTTTATAAAGGCCACCTGTGGCTGCACCAGGTGGGATCCACCCAGGACTTGTACAACCATCTGCATGCCGGAAAGAGGTGGTGGGGGCCTGACTGAGGGCCCTGGGCTGGTGTTGGCGATGAGCCTTGCCACTCCACACATGCAAAAGCTAAAGCCTGGAGCCACACCCTATTGAGGAACCCATGGCCTCAATGACCCCCAGGCCTCCGGGGTCAGTAGCCCAGTATCAGCCTTAGAGACCCACTGGAGCTTCTGTCTATGAGGCAGGAGGGAGGAGAGACAGGGCCAGACTGTGGTGGCCTGGGGCTGACGAGGCTGGCTCAGCGCAGGTCCCGCAGGCCAAACATGGGCACGCTTCCAGGGAAGACGACAGCCAGAGCCTGCCTCCCTGGGGGCAGCTGGGTGACCCAGCCAGGTGCTTCCTTCCTTCCCTGGGACAGCACACAGCCCTTCCTGTGGCCAGTGGCCAGTGGCCAGGAGCATCCAGCATCAGCACTGGGCAGCACAGGTATGGCCATGACCAACGTACCCACCAGGATCCCAAGCTCCAGGCCTATGGGCTCCTCATGGCTGTCCACACCTGCCTACTGGCCAGCCAGGAACAGAGACCCTGCACTGGGCGGGGGAGACCCCAGGCTGCCTACCCATCCTGTCTGTGTCTCAAAAGGGACCCACAAGGCTCAGCCTATGGGCAGGCTCTGGGGAGAAGGTGGCTGAGGCCAAGGTCAGGGTCAAGAGGCAGTTGCAGGGGTCAAAGACCAGCCCTTGTCCTCAGAAGGGCTACCATGCCCTTGCCATCCACCCTCCCCCATGTCATCCCGTCTGTCTGAGTGCACTAAGGGGCTGTTCTAGGCACCACCCCAGGAATCCTTCCCCAGAGCACCCCACATGCCTGCCTAGGCTCCTGGGTCTTGGTCAAGGGCACCACCTCCTCCAGCCTGGCAGTACCCCCAGGGCCTGCCTGGCTGTCTGGGCCTCACACCTGCCCCACCTCCACAGCCCCTCAAGCACACAGGGCCAGTCCAGGAAGTGAGGTCCTCTAGAGAACAGGGCGTCCTGTCCCTGCCCAGCGCCCGCCCAGCACAGGCCGGCTCCCAGGGGAGCGGAAGCTGGCGCTGCCTTGGCTGTGGAGCAGGGGGGAGGGGGGACAAAAAAGAACTGGCCAAGCTCCAAACTTTCCCAGAGCAGGCCGGGAAGGTTCAACTGGAATGCAGACCCCCCTCCCACTCCAACCCAAGAAGGGAGGAAAGAACTGGCCCATTACGCAGATCAGAGCAAAGGTCAGGAGAAAGCTTCTGCACTGTGTCCCTTGGGAGTCATCCCCCTGGTCCTGGCATCAGGGCTCCTGGCTGTGGGGCCTCTGTGCCCACCCACAGCTCCCACCAGCCCCGAGGGATCAGCCCTGAGGGCACCCGTCTACAGGGGCCACGCTTGCCAGTGTCGAGTCCCCACTGCAGAGCACGCCCAAGGTTGCAAAGACCCTGTAGACAAAGGGAGGCCTGCAGCCAGGCCAGGGTGGCCAGGGCGGCCAGGGCAGGGATGCTTGACAGTGGCAGGCGCAGGGCCCGGGGTGACTGGGGCTGAAGCAAGAAGGCTCCTTGGTGACCATGCTGCCCTTCCCACTTCTCAGTAACCAAAGACGCCCCCCCCCCCC